CCAGCTCTATTCTAGGTTTTTAAATCAAAGGCAACCCCCAGCATGGGAAGACACTGCAGCTCCCTGGGAAGTGCCACAAATGGGAGCAGATCCCTGGTATTCCAGCAAGGGAAAACAGGTTCTTTTTGATGTTCTTTCAAAACAAACTTGCTAAGGATTATTGGCAGCGTTTAACATAAACCAGGAAAGGACAGTGCATTTAACATCCCAGTTCAAGCTTGAAATTGCTTTAAGCCACTTCAGCTGTTCCCAGGCCAACACATGGGATGGAGTGCAGGAAACAGAGCCTAAAAAGCTTAGTTTCTTTTTTGTTTGTTTGTTTTTACTGGCAGGCGTTTCCACCTTTCCCTTTGTGCAGCTCATCTGATATTCCTATTCCCTTGAAGGAAAGTGCCTCAGCAGTGTGAGGAACTCAGGCAGCTCCTGCACAAAGGTGACTGTACCCAGACAAGTCAGAAAGGTAAAAATAATTAAAAAACCACAAAACCCCAAACCCAGCAAACCAACCCTCCTTGTTTCTGTAAAAGCTTGGAAGGTTCATCTGTTGAATCATGGGCTGCTTCTCCCATTCCTGAAGCATTCCTACAGAACACAAGTTACAGCTTTGGGAGGGAGGGCAGTGAAGTCCAGCTTGGACCAAACCAGCTTTGTCCATCACTGCCCCAGGACAATGGGGGTGAGGAGGTTCCAGCAGCCCCTCAGGCCCAGCCTGAATATCTGATTTTTTTCTCATGAACCCCCAAGCCCACTCATGTTTTTCCCCACAGGACAACATTCCAACCAACACTTATCCTGCAGGAACAGTGAGGAATCCCCAGGCCAGTCCTTCACAACACTGCTAATTTGAATTTCTGCAGCTTCCAATAAAACAAATAAATCTTCCCATTTCTACATTTTAAGACACAAACCAGCTGCTTTCTGTGATCACATGTGAGGACAAGATCAGTCCTGTTTCCCTGGTGCTGGATACAACATTTCAGTCAGGAGCTGCAGGGAATTCAGAGGGGGAAGAGCCAAATGCCACTTCAGTCTTGCAAAAAGTCCCAATCTAGGCAGGCTGCTGCAGAAAACAAACCCAGTGCCAGGCCACACTGCTGGGAACAAAAATAACACCTTTTCCATCTGCGAGTAGGTGGGAAGCAGAGGAGCTCAAAGCTCCTCACACTGGAAGAGGAAATGTAACACTGGTAGTGCTGAAGAATAGAAAACAGGGAGGATTCTGCCACAGGGACACCCTGGGAGGTTCTGACCCAAATTACTCCAGGATTTTGGTGGGGAGTGGGAGTGAGGCAAGAAAAACACTCCAAGTGCAGAAGGAAAGACATAAAAAAAAAATATTTTTATCTTAGGAATTAAATGAGAAATTAGGAATCCTGTAACAACAGGGCTTTCAGTGAACTCTGTTTCCTGTATGGAGGGTGCAGCTCGTTGCTCCACAACATCCCTAATTTACTGGTTTCCCTGAATTCTGCTGCAGTTACAGCCACGCAGAGCCCCGGCCCGACCATCATTAAAATTCAGGCCTTTGTGACTGAAGATTCTGCATTTACAACCCAGTCACGAAAGAAGATTATCCACCGCCCACTCCGGAGGTGAGGTCAGGCCTAAACCCGCACAGCGCCCTGGGCCTCACCCGCGAGGGGAAAAACTGAGGAAAAACTGGAGTTAAAAAATTAAGATATTTGCTTCAAGCACCCCAGAGCAACACGTGAGGGGTTTAGTGGCCGCCGAAGATTAAAGAAAGGTGTTTTAGAGCTCTGCGAGTCGTTTATCAGGCGGCGATTCCTCCCGGAGCCAGCAGCGCGGCCGAGCTCCCCCTTATCAGTTTAGATTAGCGCAGTTATCGACGTAGCTCATTAAACCCGTCTAATAGGCGCATTTCTTAATCATTTCACGCGGGCGCGCGGGTTTATATCTGATATAAAGGCCTCCGGGCGCTGCTCTGAGTTTTACGGCCCAGCGAGGCGGTGTCTGTGGGAGCAGCGTGTGTCAGACCCCCCTCACGGTGCCGCTGCCTCGGTCTCGGGGCCGCCCCCGCTTTGTTGCGGCCCGGCGGCCCCCGCAGGCCCCGGATGGCGCCGCAGACAATACCGAGGGGCGGCCCCGCCGCGGGGGGTGGAGGCCGCGGCCCGGCGGCGGCACCGCCTCAGGGGAGGGGGCGGCGCCCTCCGCCCCCCCCAGCCAGCCGGGGCCGCCCCCCGGCGCTCACCTGCGGTGTCAGAGGAGCCGCCGGCGCTCCGCCGTGTCCCGCCCGGCCGCACCGGCCCCACCGGCCCCGCTCGGCTCCGCGCTCGGCCCGGCCCGGCCCGCTCCGCCACACACCGCGGCACGCGCGTCACTTCCGCCAACGCCGGCGCGCGCACGCCACGCCCCCGCCCCTCCCCGGCGCGCGCCCGGCCGGGCCCTCGGAGGCGTGGGGTGGGAATGGGGAGGGGTGGCGCGAGGCATGCCGGGACGCGTAGTCTTTTTCGCGCCTACCTGGCGCGAGGTGTACCGGGAGTTGTAGTCCCGCGCGCGGCGCCTAGCGGCCATTTCGCGCGGCGCACGCTGGGCACGCCGGGAACAGCAGTCCGGCGGGGCGGCCGCCATCTTGTGGCGCCGGCAGTTGGGGGGTGTTCCCTCGATGCTCTGAGAGCGGTCCCCACACACTCCTCAGTGATTCTAAAGGGGGTCCCCAGCACCGCCGGTGCTCACTGAAGGATCCCCGAACCCCCTCCGGTGCTCAAGGAAGGGTTCCCAAACACCTCCCAGTTTCTGGGACCCACATTGCATGCCCAGGCTTCAACCCCATTTACCAAACGTGCTGAAAAAGCAATTTTTAGTCTCTCCTTTCCTCAGGACAAGGTGGGGATGACTCTCGTGCCCCACCCTGCCCTCGGTGCTCTGCGAGCCCAGGTCGCTTCCAGGCTGGGCTTCACAACCTCCCTGAGGCAAAGAAACCACATACCAAGGGAGTCAAAGGCCCTTTGAGCCATCGAAGTTACTAAGGAATAAAATCTGGAGTCACTAACCCCCTCAGGACACCTGCCCCAGCTGTAACATGGGAAACGTGTGGCACAAAAACATCTCGAGGTGCAACTGCAAATCCCCAAAGTGTGTGTTAGTGACAGGAATCAGTGGACAGGCACCAGAGTCCCTGGAATTTTTTAGTGGTTAAGGGGTGACCAGACGTGAGCAGCTTTTTAGGCTCAGCCCTAGTCAGTGAGCTCACCCAAACTCTTAGAAAGGCTCCTCTGCCATCAAACCCAGCCCTTCAGGCTGCCTGGGAATCAGGTCGGGGCTATCCAAGGATAACAATCTCATTAGCATTCCTCTGCTCAGCCCTTTACTTCCTTCATCCTAAATTTTAGTAAGGGACAACTAACCCTACAGGATTTCTGGGGAGCAATTCTCCCTTGAATAATGTGTTTATACTGATTTTATTGGTCACCAGCTTGTTCCCAGGGCCTGTCACACATTTACTGCAAAAATACCCCTGCAAGGATCATCATTAAAAAGATCAGTACTATGGTCTTCCTACTCTCACAACTTCCAGCTCTACAAATCCAGCAGGATGTGATTTTTCTCCTCTCTAATAGAGGATTTTCTTTCTACTCATTTCCACAGCACAGAGCACCCTCCAGGGTTACTCCTGCTGGAATTCACGTATGGAAGCTGGCAGGTAAATTGCAGAGCCCAACACTTCCTTGCTCCTTCACAGTGCAGATACAGTCATTCCAAATAATAAGCAGCCCACAGCACCAATATGCGTGTCTGGCATCTGTCCTCAAAATCAAGTTCTTCTGAAACCTTTTCCTCAGGAATTAGGGTAAGGGATGTTTTCTCTCTGACCTCTGTGTGGAGACAGAAGACACTTTGCAGAAGCAGAGTGGGTTTGACTTATTTTTCTGATGTATAAAAGCATCCTGGTGCAAAGGTACAAGTGAGATTTACACAGAAGGGACCAGGGCTTTGAAGTACCTGCTTTAGGTAGTAAGAGCTGCTGCTACCAGAGCCTGGGATTTCTGGGCTCTGAAGTTGGACTGTGCCACAACCACTTTACACCTGGGAGTGCTTTACGTTTAGACACTAAACCCGATGTACCACCCTCCTGCAGTGAAACAGGTCAGGCTGAAGACAAGGTGCAGAGCTGTTTAAGATGCGGGTATTAGCTAAGAAAAGGCTACTGTAAAAATTAAATTTAGTATTTTGATGTATTCATTTCAACTGCACATTCTAAGGGAACTTAAAATGCCTGGGGGAGATAGAGACCTTCAAAATAGTTAACTGCTACCCTCAGAGAAAAGGAAGTGACTGCTCTGCAGCTAAGGCCTGGCCGGGCTGAGGGACTCAGCAGCCTCTGGTGACAGATGAGTGACAAATGCCACCATAAGTGGGGCTCCAAGCCCATCCTTGTGACTTAGAACTTGTGCTTTCTTTCAGCTGCAGCGTAGCTGTAAGGTTATGTCACTGCCTGACATTTAATCCATTTCATACAAACCCAAACAAAATCTTGCATACTAATGAGTGTCGTGTACAGAGCAGTAACTTATCTCTGCACAAGAGCAAGAATGAGTCACTGCATGGCAAGATTTTATAATCTGGATATGCTATTTAAATGAAATCTGTACCAGGAGCTGCTTGTTAGCACTTCACCACTCCACAAAGGCCCCAGAGAAACTGCTGCCATTGCAGCAGGAGAAGGCTGGAGTTTTATTAAGGGATTGCACCCTCTTTGTTAGGGGGATGCAACAGAAAGTCACAACTAGGAACACAAGTTATCAAGGCTTGACTTCCACACAACACACAACTTGTGTCTGCTTAACTACAGTATAACTTCATCCAGACTCAGCCTCCTGCATCCAAAACCCTTTCAAGCCCCAAATCCTCACTGGTGGAGGCTCAGGCTGGAAGAACTGGCCCCAGCCAATTTTATCCATGTGAATGGGGATGTGGCTTGAATTTCAGCTGTGATGAAAACACCCCAAAACTCCAGAAATAAAACTGTCAGCAGAATATACTTACCGGGGTTTTAACAAGTGATATTTTAATTTGCTGGGGAAGGCAAGAGGGTTTGGGGAAGAGAAAGAAACGTTATGCAGGAAGCTGCTGAATCACAGGTGTTAAAACATGCACATTTTCAAGAGCTGGAGTTTCAGTGTGGTGACATGACACAGATCAAGAGTTTAGCAGACACTGGTTAACATGCCAAACATCTATAACAAACCACTGTGGCCTAGCTTGGTTTATTGGGAATCACTTTAGTAACCTGAAGTCACAAATAAGCAGTAAATAACAAAAACTACAGATAAACACAGGTTACACATGCAAATTCCTGTTCACATCTCACATGTGCAGGTACATTAAGAGCACAGTTCTAAAGAGTCTTGACAAAACCAGATTTTAACAGAAAACAGTGTTAAAATGCGGGTATGAAAAATTCCACATGGAGAATATAAAGATACCTTTGTCCACTTTGGGACTCCAATGCTGCTTTTGAGAAACCAGAGATGTTACAACAGCAACGAGATTCAAGTAAAAGCAGGAAGAGCTCAAGGAAATAATACTGGTTGGAGAGAATGGGCATTTACTTCTCACTAAAAATACACAGAATAGCTGAATAGGAAAGTCTAGCAAGAGCTTAGGAAAAAAAGTCACAAAGTTGTAAAGCTGGCTAATCACTAATTTTCCCTATTTGCTATAGATAACAGCAGTGACATTAAAAGAAATTGCAATTCAACATTTAAAAATGCAACTTACATTTAAAGACTTTTCCAAAGTGAAATGCAATGACAGCCTTACTCTCAAAATTAAATAGCTGCTAGGCTCAGACCAAAATATGGAATGTTCTAGATAAAATAAAAATACAGTGTTACTTTTCATTTTTTATTCAGAATGGAATTGAAAGACAATTTCTGAAGCTTGAAAGTAGTAAATCTCATTTGAACAAGGTTTTCTTCTCATAGATGAGCTTTCCACGAGGGTGCAGGATTTTTTTTCTGTAATAGCTTGAAGTGTCAAAACAAAAACTTGTTGCCATTCTCACATTAAGAACAAATTGTTGTCATTAACTTAACTGCATATGCTTTTTGCTACAACATTTAACACATGAACAGACCTATAATGCCTACTGTATCTCACTAAAACAAAAAAGAATACAGTATTTCATCTACTACTTGTACTGCTTTTAAAAAAGATTAACATTAAAAACAAAGCCACATTTTCCTTACATCCTTCCTTCTTTTTAAGCTTCTTTCTTTTGCCTGTAGTCTTCAGCCATTTTATCCAGAATTTTCTGTTAAAAGAAATTATATTTGGGATATATTTAGAGAGTTTTTCACAGTCACAACATCAAGAATAGAAACGTAAATCCAATTTACAAGTTTAACATCTGTGAACATCAACTGCAAAGGTCACAGCTAACAAGGCTGGCACTTCTCCCTACCCTGAAGTGGAGTTTGAGCTTCCCTTGGCAAGCCAAGGGAATTCCTTTCCATTTTGTCATGGACTTGTGACAGCTACTGTGCCACTTACCTGGGTGGAATCTGCCACCTACAACGGCAGGGACAAAACACCTCCCCTCCCTGGAGAAGGGCTGTTTGGGAAGTTTGAGGAATTTGTTACCACTTTGACCACATTTGGTAGCAACATCAAGTCACCTATTTATTTTTTCCTGCTCTCCAAGGGAAGGAGACTCCCAGCTCCAGAAGTGCCATTGTGAGACAGAAGCTGCATTTCCCCCCTTCCCTCCCCAATTCCAAACCCCACCCACGTCACAAAGTCACTCACAACCTTGCTAGCCATGTGTGCCATGGAAAGAGCAAAGCAGCTCATGTTTCATTTAAGCAATCAAGTTAATAAATTATCCCCCCTCCCCTTTTTATATCAAGGTTTTAATGTCCCATAACCTGGTACCTTAATGAAAAAAAAAAAAAAAAAGAAAAAACACTATGGTGATGGATGAGGTGGGATTTCTTTCTACAAGACCCTGCATGGGAACTGATTACCTGATCTACTTCTTGATAATGTTGTTTGCTTTTTTGTGCCATCTGCCTTCCTGGGCCCTGTATTTATTTAGGGTTTCCTGTTATTGCAAGGAGAAGGCAAATGTTTGGAGTCTGAGGTGCCACCTCTTCCTTTTCTGTGGAGTCCCTGGGGTTTGCTCTCAGCTCAGGGATGGACTGCTATAAATCCATTTCTGATATAAATCCATCAACACTGCATGACTATCAGAATTTGGTTTAGCACTGCGCCCTTTCCTAGAGGTGATATTTAAAGCAGCTCACAGTAAGAGGATACAGCAGCAGCATTATCACTCATGCCATGCAATCATGTGATACCTCATCCAGTTAGAAAATTGAAAAACTGCTCACAAAATCAGAAGTTGCAAATGTTTGGGGGTTTTAAACACATAAAAACTTCATCTTAAGCTTTGTTGATTGGTTAAAAACCATCTTGAAGGGACAACTGGAAGGGATCTGAGCCATCTGTATTTAGTCTGCAATGCTACTTCTAAGCCTGGTCTTTACTCCAACTGGAATTCCCTCTTTAATCCAAATTTACAGGAAAAAAATGCTGAAGCCCAACTCTAAGCTGTGTATTCTGCATATTATTTTCACAAGATGAAGTTTTGAGAGGTCTACCTGGAGTTAAAAGATAGAGAATAAGCCAATTTCCCCTGCCTGAAAGGTATTTTTTGTCCTCAGTCCGGTCTCGTTGAATTCTATTCCCCAGAAAGAATCACGCCAGTTAAAATGAACAAGTTTTTGCCTTACCTTCAACTTTTGATAATGAGGAAGGCTGCTGCAATGGGTCTTTTTTGCAACATCTTCATTTGTGTAGAACAGGGAACACAATTTGCAATAAAACCCTGTTTTGGGTACCACATAATTCACACCTAGAGGAGTAAACACCACAAAATAAACTAAGAGATCTACTCTACATCATTTCTTTTAATGTCATATGTCATTTCAGCTAAATCTTAAAACCATAATTCACTTTACATTAAAAAGCTGCTTTATCTTTCAAAGTCCTTGTTTTAGTTTAGTCAAGCCAGGGCCTAGTAATAACTAAATATGTGCAGGCTTTTTTGAATTTTTTTTATTTTAAAAGCAACCTTTCAGATTAAGGGTCCATTTTATTGGTTCCTTCAAAAGAACTCACAATGTTCTGTGATCAGTTTTGGAGTATTTAGTATGACTCTAAACTGTTACCACTGTTGTGCTTTGAGCTAGTAATGGAATTTGTGTTGCTAAAATACGCCTCTTTCAACTTAATTTCTGCCTAAGGAAAGTGTTATGGAGAACTGTATGAAAATAAGGGAAAAAAAGAAAGAAAATACTCAGGGTTAGGGGAGGACTGAAAAACAGGGGAGAAGGGGAAACCCTAAAATGAAAGGCTATGGGGGCAATGTGTTGCCAAAAATAAAAGTCAGATGAAATGAGAAATGCTACTGCAATGCACAGAGAGTATTGGAAAAGAAATGGAAGCAGCCTTACCAACAGGAACGTTTGGCTGGTACGGCCCAATCCTAAATTCATCTGGAACTAGAGGTTTCTCTTGGACGTTCTTGGTTTCCTGCTCATCCTGGGGGTCTGTGTTTTCCTGGGCATTTTTCTCAGCATCCTGTGCTGTTGTGGCATCTGAAGCTTCAACAGGTTCAGTCGTGACGGTGACTTCGGTTTTCGTTCCGTTCTCCAACATCTCGTTCTCCTGCTCTGGCTCCTCGATCTTGTCCACCTTGATCTCTGCCAGACTGTCCTCGTTCTTGCCTCCTGCCTTCCCTGCCAGGCCTGACTTGCGGAGCTTCTGGTGATCGGAGTCCTCCTCGTCCCCCACCTCATCCAGGGTCACAAAGCCCTCCATGCTCCGTGGGAAGCCGCCCACATAGCGCTGTTGGGAAAACGGGGGCCTTAGGTCAGCTTATGCTTCAGGGTTCCCCTCAGACTCTCTTAAAGAAGAGAAATATTTTCTCCAAATTCCCTGGAAAAACGCTCAAGCTCGTCCTTCAAGACCTGCCTCCCTCATTCAAACTGCTGCTCAAACAAGCTCTTTGTGTACCCACTGGCCCAGAAACAAGGATCCACTTCAGAATCATTATTTTTTTTGGCACTGTAAGGGGCCACTGTTTCATCATATCAACATGTGATTTCAACTTAAGAATAGAGCAAAAAGATACTGAAATTCTCAAGCTGAAATTCCTTTTAATGTATATATTTTAATTTTAAGTGAAAGTCATTTTGGAACGCACAAGTTTTGTTTCTATTTGAGACAGTCACACAAGATCCTCAAATTCATGCCTGAATAGAAGGTAAAACCTTACCACAGCTATTCTGTGCCCACCAGTGGTATGAAGGTTCATTTAAAAAAAATTAATTAAAAGCTCTTTTTCAACCAGCTTAGAGTGTCCACAATAAAAAAACCAATCAAACAAAAGGAAACAAAATCCAACCCAAACCCCACAAACCACCCAAAACTGTGGAGGCCTCTTAAAATTCAGGTTCATTAAGAGTGACTGTCTCTAAAATTCTGAATTTTTGGAGACATTCCTCTGATATGAAGACATCGTTATTACACATGCTGAACAGCAATTGTGAGGAGGACTAAACCAGCATTAACTTTGTGAATGCAGGTTTACAAGGAAGCAAGTTTGGGTTTGAGGCAGTTTATCACAGTGGGCACCAACATTCTAAGAAACAAGGAACACTAATGCCATTTGCACTGCCAGCATCATTCCTGGCACCATGTAATTAATTACCTTCCTGACAAAAGGATCCCTCAAAACTGAAATCCATGCACACTTCATTCATTAATAAGGAACAGGCCTTACTTTCTTGCCAAACAACATTTCAAGTCAATAGTTACTAAAACTTTGCACACTCCTCCACAGAAGGGAGTATGATTAACAAAGCAGCCTGTAAGGACATAAAAGCCATGAGAGTGTGGGATCATCTGGTGAGAAAAAGGGACATCACAGCAAGCAGCCTGTGACTACGACACCTTGAAAGCAAGTATTTTCTTTCTCCAGTGGGAAAGGGGCCCTGGCTCAGCACAGATGGCCTGGCCCACCTCTTGGGCTCAGTACACACAGCCCTGCCCAAGCCTAGATTAGCCTCAAGTCCCCAGTACGTTATTTTGTGCTCTGTGCTCAAGGGTAACTACAACCAGTGCCTTGAGAAACTGTTCAAGAGAAAACAGTTCCTGGCTGCTCAGTGTTAATCAAAAAACAGAGTGAAGAGAAAGACAAGCAAACACCCAGGAGGTGACAGGGTAGAGCCTGACAAGTGAAAGGTTTCTGTCAAAACAGAACCAGGGATTCAGAACTGACTGATTCAGTGACAAGCTGCATGTGGTGGGATCTTCCACCTTCTTCACAGGAGCTCTAACACCCGTTTCTCCTCAGACAGGTGTTAAAGACCCACGGGAAAAGCTCTGCACTACAACATACATGGTGTGCTGCCTAAGTTAGACAGGGCTTCCCCCACTCAGTACCTCACTGTATGATTTACCTTTTTAAGCTTTTTCTTGGCTGCTGGAGTGGCCACAACATTCCCCCCCTCAGTTTTTACTGTGACATCATCAGGGGTGTCCTTTTTTTCTTCAGTCGCCACATCAGCTAAATTGGCAACATCTGCATCCTCTCCTGCTGAGCTGCCACTTTCTAACAGTGCTGCTGCCTCCTCCTCATCCACCAGCAGCTCATCTTCAGATTCCAGGAGTAAACTGGGCTCATCTTGCTCTGCCTGTTCCCCACTTTTGGCACCTGAGGGCTCAGCAGGATCCTCTTGTTTCTCCTCTTTCACTTTTTCTTCTGTAGTGCCACTTTCAGGTTTCTGAGCAGCTTCTGTTTTAGACTTCTTATCACTGGGAGAATCTTTGCTGTCTGGAGAATACGTTCTCTTTCTGTAAAGAACAAAGAACACTTGTTGCTTGTAAACTTGGAGAGAGCCCAGAAATTACTTTAAAAAAAAATATTGTGTTTCAGTTCAGGAAATGGAAAGCTGAGGGCAACCTGGAAGGACACCATTCTTCAAGCATACAAAAGGCTGCTGCAAGGAGAAATTATCCTTGCAAGACAGGACAACTGTTCGTGGGTTTAAATTGCAGGAAGGCAAAGCTAATTAGGGACTGGAAAGGATTTCCTGAGGAGCCTGAGAGGCTGTGAAATCTCCATCCTTAGAGGAAGAGGGTAGGCAGCATATTAGACACAGCTCATCTCCGGGCACAACAAACACCAACTCGATCTCAAAGCTCACCCGACTCTTTTGTGCCATTTCCGTGCTCTGAATAAGGTATTTACATATTTCTTTTAAACAACATAATGCTTTAACAATAGGAAATTACCTGGTTTTATCCTTTTTCAGCAGCTCAACTCCTTTGTTGGGAATCTAAAATAAAGTTAAAGAAGTCTGTGAGTGACAGCAGAGTAAGATTTACAGGAGTGTTGCAGCATGAATTCAGCAGCACAATGCAGCCAAGTGCTCCCAGTTACATTAACCCACAGGGACACTTGTACCACACCCACCTACCAAGCCATTAGTAAACTCTTATTTCAGACGGGACCTGACCAACCTAGATATACCCTGCCTTTACTCACAGTAATTATCAATTATTCAATGCCAAAGAAATAGGATATCCTGCTCCAGAATATTCACATACAATTCCTCCTTTCAGGAACTGATACAACGTGGTGCAGGCACTGGCACAGATCAGTCCTACTCTGTTTTCTCCCTGTCATGAGTGGAAAAACCTTTAGCAACCCCCCACCACTAATTTATGAGTTACTGAACAGGGAATGTCACTTGTAGGCAGTAACACAGAAATCTCTTCAGTGCATTGCTGAAGTATTTGGATTTGCCATTGAGTGTTCATTTTGCTGCATGAGCATGTGCAACAGTAAGATTTCTTCATATTCCACAGCAGAAACCTGATGTTTTCAGGAGACAACTTGCCAGTTCAAATATCTCCTGCTCTTCTACCTGGTGTTCCACTCTGATGGAGAAAGTCTTACACCTGCAGGAGCATTATCCTGGTGTTATGCAAAAAACCCCTCAGGAACCTGTCCCTCCCTTGTATGAACTGCACATGCAGAGATGCAGTTCTGATGTACCATAAGTTTTCACAAAGCTTATTAATTTTCAGAGGAGGGGAAGAAAAAAACCCCTCCAAATTACAGCATGTTCTAAATGGACCCTTTTTAATTAAAATCGACACAATTTACTCTAAAATCTGAATTCTAGAAGTTGTTTGGGTTTTGTTTCATCTGAGAGGAAAATCCTTTAACTTTGTTCTAGCCCTCTCAACACAACTCTCATGCCAAGTAATTGCATTAAGGAGCCAGAAAATATTAAAGCAAACCCCTTCATTTTACAAGCAACAGTGAATTCTCATAAGTGATGGCTGTCTTCACACCTTCAACTGCAATTAAAAAACTAAGAACACTTCCTACCCTTAACACCAGCTTCTTGTATTTCTCAGATAAATCCACTTTCACACATCTGCCTTGGAACCAAAGTGCTTTGTTGGCACAATGCTCCACCATGGCCAAAGCATCTTCTCTGGTCTCCATCTCAATGAAAGCCTGAAAAGATTAAAACATACATTAAAAAGGACTGTAAAAGGCAAAGCTATTGAACTTAAAATACAGCATTTCCAAACACTGAAACAACACTAAAAGGTTCAATTACATCTGTCCTCTCCAAATACTTTAAAATTTATCCAAGTGCTCTATAACCCCAGCTTTTCAATTTGGTACCACCTGTGCCATAGACAGTTCTGAAATTAAACAGGTTTTTAAATAATCTGCCAAAAATATTGCCATAAAGTAAAATATGATATAAATAAAAAAAAAAGCATCTGGACAGTGAAATTCTTATTTAGTGCTTATGTACTTGGGAATTCCAGAAGAGAGGAGAAACTACCCTGGTATTTTATTTTTGGTTTTTGAGAGAAGCCTGAAACAAAAAGGCAGCAATTGCTGGTCTGTAAGCCCAGCTTTGGGATGAGTTCCTCCTGGGAACAAACCTATGGAACACTAAGGTTGCTGAACAAGATTTAAACAACTCCATGACCTGGAGTATCCTTGGCAGAAAGCTGAAACCTGTTTCTGCAGCCAGCTTAGACAGCAAGGGTTTTCATTCTGCCAGTGAAATAAGGTCAGGGAGTTCTTCCTAGGGGTCACACAAAAGATTCTAGTAATTTTTCACTTCACAAGTGTGGCATTAAGGGATTCAGGCACTCATCTCTTTGAAAAGGCAGTGGAATTTCCTATTTAACTCAAGGGAGCAACAAACTGGGACAGTAAAGCTTAAAAAAAATTAGAACTAAATAGTTTAAGCTCCTGTGTATTTACAGAAATCATGTCCATGCACATCCAAAACATTTTACTACACACATGCAATATGCTGCCTTCAAACCTTTCTTTTTCAAGCTAGAGAGCCACAGCAGGACTGCTTTTGTTTAGTTTTAAAGAATGAAAAATAAAGGGTAAATGAAAGAAACATGGAATAGTGCAATATTGTTGTTTCATCAGTAATGGTCTTTCAGCCCTAAGAAAACAGTCCCAAGGCTCCAAGAAATCTGCATAACCCAATAATTAAGCCTCAATGCTAAAATATCTTTTTCCCAGCTGAGGCCTGTTCCTGTTTTTAAAGCAGCTCATGTTATAGGACATTTCACAGGAAGCTCCAGAGCAAAATCCCACCCACACAGAGCCCCCAGATCATTTCCACCGCTCTGCTGGAGCAAAGAGTCTGCACACAAACCAGTTCATGGCACGGCATTTCCTCACAGATAAAACCCTCAAGTTTCAAATGCTCACACATGTGTTCCCAGGTGAGTTACCTGGCTTTTCATCCTCATGAGGATGTAGTTCTTGATCTTCCCGTAGGGCTCAGCCAGTTTGAGCACTGCGTTGTCAGAGTACCCCGAGTGTGGCAGGTTGCTCAGGTGAATCACACGACCAAGCTCTGGTTTGGGGGGCTCAGTCTTTTGGTCAGGTTTACCCTCAGGTTTCTGGAATTGAAAGGGAATGATGGTTTTTTGAAGACATACTACATAAAATATACATGGGTGACTGTCCCTTGCTGAAGCTGATCCAGCTCAGAAGTACAGAAATTAGGAATAACTTAAATGCAGCCACCTCACAACACTGACTGCCCCAGATTAAAATAAGGCAATGCCAAAAAAAGCAGGAACGTTTTACCTTTATTCTCTTGTATTTCTGTGACAAGTGGACTCTGACTGGTTTACCAAACACCAGGGCAGGTGTTGTTGAATAGTATTCAACTGCAGCCTGGGCGTCTTCAGTGGTCGACATTTCGATAAACGCCTGAAATAACACAAAATAAATGAAGCACTGCTCCTTCAGGACTCAGTGCTTTTGTTTCACATATCAAGCTCTTCACTGCTGTCTTGTCAAAACAGCTGCATCAAAAATGGGAACTGCTTTTTGATTACAACATGCACTGACCTGCAGAACTTGGCATGAATTTCACATACTTTATTTAGGTGCACAAACAGAATTAGTCAGTTTGTTTACATTCCACCTAGATTTAGATTCAGAACATTAAATTGCTTCCTGCTTTTTCTCTTTTATGACACTGGGTTTTTCCACACTTCAAAATATGACACACTGTATAATAGAAATTGAGACCAAGTAAGTTTTCAGATTATACTGAAACAAGAACAGCATGTGGTATTGTTGAGAAAGCTGTGAACAACCAGCAAGAAGGATTTTTTAATATTTAAGTGAAAATGCAGTAGTACAGCATTTCTAGAAACATACTGTTCCTTTCCTACAAGACCTTGTGGTGAGGTATCATCTCACTTGGTAGCTGAGCAAGTGCTTTTACAAAACCAAAGCTCAGACAGTTACAGCCACCAACCAGCAGCACCAGCAGTGACAGCTTACCTCATTGATTTTGTTTAGAATCAGGTGATTTGTAATTATCCCAAAGGGTTCAACGAGCTGGAGCAGCTGATATCTCAAGTTCTTTCCCCTCTGGAAATCCATGATGTGCACAACTCTGCTTGTTTCCTGTTGAAGACAAAGCATGTGATCACAGTATGAAAAGATCCAAGTGTACCAGTAAACTTAAAGAGTCTGTCATGGCTCTGATTTGCATTTTTTTTTTTTAAATTTTTAAATCTTCAGTAGTAACCAAAACAATATGCACATAGAAAAGGCCCAGAACTTCCCACAGCTTCATCAGAAAATGTTTAAGAAGGTTCTGTACAGTTTTGGACTAAACATTTTGTAGAGTCCTTGGCACAACAAACCCCTAATCTTACGCCAAAGGTTCAATATTTCCATATAAATGCTAAAATCTCACTTTTAAAGACAATCATTCAATTAAAAAAAACAATCTTAAGAAAGCAAACAAAAATTATATAACAAAATATACAGGTACAAAATATATGGGTATATATGGGTACAAGAATAATGACTTTTTAATACTAACCACTCTGCCCTTCTGCATGTGCCTCGGTCCCTGCATATTGCCATTGCCAGCTCCTTTAAAAATTAAAAGAATGAACAAGCTTAGTTCAACCTGGAAGACTGGGATTAACATGAGTTCTTAAGGATGTAAATCACTTGTAATATCAAACCAGAATGACATCAAGTTTTAAAAACTAGTTATTTCATTACAGCTGTGCAGAAACAGCAGAGAACAAGTAAAGCTCGTTGAAAAAGAAATCTCTCCTATTTCAGAATAAGATTTGCCACAGCAAAACATCTCTGTACACAAAGGATGTGAAGTCTCTATATCTAAGACACCCTTTTTACAAGTAAGGGTTTAATTTCTAAAACATCAATTCTATCACAATGCCCATTTTACTAGGAAACACCTGAAAAAAGCCTTTTTGATCATTTTGCTCATAGTCAAGTTGGAAATGTTTTAAAAATTAATGGTATTATTTTAATGAAATTAAGCATGAATGCATCTATCATCTAAAAAATCCTATGAAGTGTCTCAAATACTTCTACTCTGTCAGAACAATCAGGTACATTAATTAGTTTTGCTCTGTTAGTCATTCAAAGCATTTAAAAGGTAGGAAGTAGCAACATCAGGCAAGAACCTGATTCTTAGCCTCCCTTCCTGAGAGGAAGAGGCATCATCCATCTTCCCATTTCTCAGTTGCTATTCAAATTTATTTCTCAAATTCACTTGAAATTAGGGGGAAAAGCCACTCAGGGCATTGAATTTTGCAAGTTTCATCCAAAGAATTCCACCAACACATTGGCATTCCCAAGACAGATACAAAAACATCCTAGGGAGGAAAAATCCAAGTCCTAACCGTGTAGATTAATCACAGTTAAAAATCACCAGCCTTAGAACAAATGAGTTATTAACAGAGTACCAGGCTTTGGCCAGGGAAGGACTAAAGTATTTCAGTTCTACTGCTCAGAAAAGTGTTTTCTTTGGTTGCTCTCAAACACTGATAACAAAGGAAAAAAGAAAACCTAGCAAGAAGTTAAGCCTCGTAAGAGTAGGTGCTTATCAAGGTTACCTCTGGGCCCAACAGGGGGTCCTCCAAGGTGGAATGGAGGGGGGGGTGGTCCCAGAATTCCTGGTGCAGGGTTTGTGGATTGCTGCAACATAAAGGGATCACCCCTACAAAGAGAGGAAAACACACTGTAATTTTACATCAAAAAACTGTGTGGCTTTCATTCTCAAAACCCCCTAATTTCTGCAGAGCTTCAATGTAGGCAACTTTAGCTACTTTTACTGCTGCTCTTCAGCTAAAAACCAAAGGAGGAATCCATCTGGTGTGCTGTTTCACATAAACTGTTAAGAACATCCTCTGCTTCAAATAAAAAAATTATAAATACTTCAAAATTAATTACTACTTACATTCCATGTCCTGAATCACTGTCAGGATTCCATTCAGGGTATCTTAAAAGAAACAAAATTAAAAGAAAATATAAGAAAAACAATCTCCTCTACCTATGTAACACCTGTCCCAGAAGCTGTGATACCTGAAGATGTAACACAGCTGAAGCACAGGGCAACACTCTGGGCCCACTGCAAGGGCCAGGAGCAGCACTGACACAAGTGCTGTTCTTCAGGACAAGCTCCCTGCACTGGTTGCAGTGTGTCTGCCAAGTTTTATTTCAAATTGCACTGTTTGTATCACAACAACAAAAAAAATGTAGAAGTTGGTACCAGTGACTACAATTACAACAGATTCTCAACCATTTTAAGATCCACTGCTAAAATGTTACATATGTTTCTGGAAGATTTCAAGGTTGTGAACCTCGATCCCTTTTTGTGCATAGGATGCTCTCAAGTTGGTTTTATTCCCTACAAGGCACAGGTAGGGACCTGCTTTGGGCAACATAATTGACCATTACTTAGAATCAGAGAATCTCCTGAGCTGGAAGGGAGCCACAGGGACCACGGAGTTCAACTCCTGGCCGTGCACAGGAACCCAACAACCCCCCTCGTGTCCCTGAGCCTTGCCCAAACGCCCCCTGAGCCCTGGCAGGGTGTGTGCAGTGCCCAGGCTGATCCCAGTGCCCCGTTACTGCAGTTGGGTTCATACATTTCGAGCAGCAGCTGACAGCGGCGGCTGTGAGTCGCTCCATTGATGTGGTGGTTCCACTCCTGCAGCAAAGTAAAGAATTCACAATTAACAGCCACATATGGCAAGTCATTCTAACAAGCTTCTCCTCTAAGCTGAAGTGCTGCAGATACACAGATAATGAAATCTTTTTGTAGTGCTTTGAAGGGCCACTGACACTGGACCTGCCTCTTCCCTCCTAAGCTGGGGAAAAGGTGTGATGGGAACTGTGCTCACTCCTGCCTCAGAGTGCAGAGCTCCCTGCAGCTGCTGCACCACAGGCACTGACTGCCCCGGCAGCCTCTGCAACTGCAGGCTGAGTGTTTGTCTGGAGTCATTTCAGAATTTCCTCCCCTCTCTCTGCTTCATTCCTCAGACTTTGACAGGTTAACTCGACACTCAAATTTTTAGAACCACTAAGAGGCCAAGAAATTGCAAGGAATTCAGAAAGGAAAGACTAAAGGAAATGAAAGTGCATAGCTAGGACAAACTACGAGTATACAGGTGAAATATAAAAATATGTGACCTTTTGAGGGGAATAAAGGACGTCTAAATGGTAAAAAGGAAGAATAGTGGAATTAAACCAAATCATCCAGGTAAAACTCCTCCTGGTTCTGGCTTTAGCATTAGAAAGGAATGAGGGATTTCTGCTTTTTCTGTAGACTGTTTTCCAGTTCTGCAGCTTCCTGTTCTCTTAGATCAACAGGCTTATTTTGGAAATTCTGATTACTACTTCCTTCTCCAGTTTACCACAGTGGTTACACTGTCAGCACATACTGGACTCCACAGGCTAATCCCAACTGAAACACTGCAACTGCTTTACGTGGCTATTCTGTTTCTGCTCAGCACCCACACAGGATGTTTTCCTAATCCCTCATTTTTCCTGATTTTTGGTTTCTGCCACACTACAACCATTCTTCTGGATTCAGTGAGACACTCCCCAGGCTAACTGTAGTGTTTCCATGTTACATGCCCACCCTGCACTTTCCACAAAGAAAAAAAACCTGGATTTAAAGTCTCCCCTAAAGTGCTGCAATATTACTTCAGGATAACATGGAGCAAGATGAAACCTTCATCCATTTTATCAAGATGGAAAACGAGAGCACCACTTTTTCCTGTTAACTGCACAAGATGCTCTGCAGCTATAAATAATTAGGCTGGCAATTAGGACAAAAAAAAAATCCCACCAAAACCCCAGATCTATGAAACATTCAATACAAAGATTCTTTACTTCAACACTTGCTAACAAGTGTTAGCACTATAAAAAACCCAGTCCTTTGGACACCAAAACCCCTCTAAATTTGGGTGCACAGTCAGTAAAACCTCAGTGGCTGATTCTACCAGACATAGTATGCTTTGGATCTGTCTTAACACATAATTTAAAATTATTCTAAACTGACACAGAAGCTGTCTGCAACTCAGAGGCAAAGTCTGGAAGATCTAATTCTCATTATACTTCAAATGCTTTTAAATTGGCAAAAGAGGGAGCTCTGACATATAATTTGGATTTTTCTCTTCCTCCAAGGAATATGATGGCTCATCTATATTAAGTTTTTATTGAATAATTCTTAATCTGAATTCCCTTTCCTGCCTGCACCCAGTCAGAAATGTCCCTTCTCCAAGGTTTTGGGGCACCAGGTATTTATATTTACGCCCATTAACATGAATGCCCCATGTTAAGGCAGAGAAAATCTGAACTGAGTTTCTTCAAACCTAGATTACCCTTTGGCTCAGTTGATACCAGAGAGGACACACTGTTCCTCAGGAAATTAGGCCAAACTCGAGCACCTAATTTTAGCCAGCCATCTATTAGGGCCACAGCCAGGTTTTCCCTCTGAGATGTACCACGGGTTCAAGTGTTTAACCTCCAAATTCATCTCTTCATGTTCCATCAGCCTTTGTCTGGCAGGGAAAACAATCCCTCCACATCCAACACCTCATTCCTCGATAAAGGGATCAGGGTTGACAAAATGCCTGAAGTATTTGGGGTACTATTTACTTCACAGACAGAAAACAAACTGGGTCTTAAAATATGTACACAGCAAATTAAAGAAGCAATTAAGAACATCATTAAAATAAAAAATTGGACTAGTCTGCCAGTTTAACTTATAGTGAGGGTATTTAACCCCTTGCTCAGGTTTAAAATACACACTGCTTTATCAAACAGCCTTAAAAATCTACAATATTTTATTTGGAAGTGGGGAAAATGAGATGTTGATACTGCAGTCATAAGTTTACATTGTCCCAGCTAAGAAAAGCATTCCCTTTCTGCTTTCCAGAAATTTCAGTTTAGATCAGGTTCCTTTAAAAGTCAAGTTTGACTTGATTTGATTTCATGGGAGACACAAAATAAGGAATTCTGTAACAGTTAGGTATGCAAAGCAGAGGAAAGAAGGAGAGAAAGAGAAAAATTCTTGTGGTGACATGATTTCTGAAATTAGAAACAAAGCCTAAACTTGGGTCATAAGAAACAGATGATCCAATCTCAAATAGTTTATGGTGTACTAGCAGTTTAAGTCAAAGTATGTTCCTACAAAAAAAAAAAAAAAAAAAAAGGTTTTACATGTTACAGAAGAGGTCAGCCACAAGTTATGCTGTTAAAAGAATTTGGTATTTCTCATACCTGGAGAGCTATTCCAGTGTGGATCCTTTCAACAGATCTGCACTCCAAAGCACACTAAGAACCACAAGTCTTTAAAATAAAGAGCTAAAAAGACCCCTACTTACAGGATTACTGGTTGCCATCGTCAAGGGCCTCAGAAGTTTATGTTTTCAATCTAACCCAATGAAGTCCTTTTACAGAACTGAGCATGGCAGCTAAACTGTTAACACTTAAACCTTGTGTGAAAATAAACAGCAAATACAGGAGACAAGAAACCCAGATTATTGTGATTATTTTATATAAAAAGTAATTAAAGCAACACAAGTTCATTAACTGTCAGATCAGCTGGAGCCATACAGCGTGTGCTCTAAAACTGGTTTGATCCTTTCCTTGCAGGGACAGAATAATTCTCGTGTTTCAAAAAGATCAGATGTACAGAAGCAGCACTTTTTTGAGAGGTAACTGTAAAGAAATGGTTAGTAACAGCAATTCCACATTGTATCAATTTTACAGTAATAGCATGTATTATGTTTTCAATTGAAGGCCTTCGAGCTAATTAGCCACTAACTGTGACAAGAGGGGCACTGTATTAGCCAATTAGCCAATTAAATTGCCTAGTACACTGAAAACCAGCAAGATGAGTAACACTGGAAAAGCTGAAAGTGAGAAGGCTCTGAAAACAACGTCTGAATACAAACAGGCCATTTTGAGTAACCTGCTCCCTTTGCAGAGTTGGACTAGTCATGGATAACTAAGAGGGAAGTCTCAGCATCACCGAATACACCCGAAGATCCACTCCACTTGTGAGCCGAGGAAAGAACACTACTAGGAACACAGAGCAGGAACTGCAACAGCAGATTGATTGCTCGGAGAGTCTACAGGGATAGATGCAACATGTGACAATAAAAAGTGAGTCTGAAGTGTTCTAAGAAAGTTGTGAAAAAAGGAGAAAAATGACGACAAATTTCAGCCATAGTATGAGATAGAGTGTTAAAGTGAAATTAAAAAGGCAAGAATGAGCTAATCTAAAACGTGGCTTTTACTTTTGCAAATAAGTTCCAGGGCTCTACATTAACTCTTTCCCTTTGTACAGGGAAAAAGCAGAACTGTGCAAGAATGCATCTTAACTACATATAAATCAGCAATCAAGACAGATGTGGAGGAGAGCTGAAACTAGCTTCCAGAATGGCACAGTAGATACACTGCAAAAAAACCCCAAACCAACAAAAAAATAACAGAACCCACCCCAAAACTGCTTGAATGCCAGATGTTTGTGGTTAAGAGAACATGTAGATGTAAAATATAAATAAGATATCCCAGTAGATGATAGCTGTTTGACTTGAAGTTAAGCAATCTGGGCAAACAAAAATACATTAATGTAAAGCCCTGGTTTACAATGTTTGTTAACAATTACCTTGCAAATAAACCAAGTGCCTTTTTCACTCTCAAACCAACTTTCAGATCATTTCAAAAGCAACCAGGCTATAGAAATCATTAAAGAAATAGGTAAAAACAGAACAGAAACTACAACGTAAAGGAAAATAGAAGTATCTGGTGCGTAACTCACCTTATTAGAATGAACTGGCATATCACATATAGAGCACAGATGGGGATAACCCTTCGGTAAGAATCCATGGAAGTCTTCAATATTGCTATTTGGAGGAGCACCTCTCTTTTTCTCAAAGAGAGATCTCTCGGGACCAGGACCACGGCCCATTCTGTCATACTCACTGTCAAATTTATGATAGTTATGCGAAGTCTCGCCATAAAAAGATTCATCCCTACACCTTTCTCCATCTCTCAATCTGTCATCTTCATAATCCATTCTGTCATAATAACCAGATTCTTGAGAACGACTTCCATGGTCATAGTCAACCACTGGGTTGAGACTAGGACCACGATCATCAAAGCTATCTCTTCTAAAATGCCTTTTTTCTTCCCAATCATCCCTAGGTACTCTGTACGGTGGTTCCCGTGTGGATGATCTGCCATCTCTACCATAACCTTCTTCAGCTCTCCTCCTTTTAAGTTGTAGAAGGATCTGAGGCAAGTTTTCAGGAGTGATCTTGTCCTCGGGATAGCGACTCAGTTCATCTAAGTCTCTAGCAGACAGACCAAAGCTGGCCAAAATGTTAGTGGCCTGGTCTGCATCTCCACGGTGCTGAGAAGACAAAGGGAGCGGACCTCTACTTCCAATGTTAAATATAGACTGCAAATTATGGGAAGAGGTACTACCAGAAGACAGTGCACTATGAGATCCTTGTTGGTTCAATGAAGAACTCATTCCAAGATTCATTAAGCTAGCAAGGCGTGCAGTACCCTGGTTCATCCTTCCAAGAGATGCTGGCATATTTAAAGACTGGGTAGCAGCAGCAAGAAGGCCTATTCCTGCAGAGAGGTCACGGCCATGACCTTGTGAATCCCTACTCAGAGATGACTGCTGGAATGACTTGGACATTGTAGAACTAGAGCTTGTCTACTTTATGGATCAAAAAAAATTCCTTTTTTTTTTAATATAGTTTTTTATAGTTTTTTTTTTAAGATGGCTGCAAAGAGAGCTCACACTAGAAAGCTAGGCAAACTTCACTTCAAAAACGGTAACGCCAAGAAAGAGGATCAATAATGACTGCAGATCTTCTTCAAGCTGAGAAACACCAGACAATTCTGTAGAAAAACAAGCAGTTTTAGTCATAAATCCCTTTAAACAGATGCAGTTTTAAACTTATGCATCATGTTGATCTAAAAAAACATTAGAGATCTCAATCTTACAAGGCTTTTATCACATAACAGATTCAAGAGGTACCCAGAGCCTACATATATTATTGCAGATAAAAATACAGCAGTGTTTCCTATACATACTCCTTCCACAAAAAGCTACTTTCATACTGAAGACAAGTGAATTTCAGAAGTTGCTGATGTCTAAAAGCATCTGTAAGTTTACTGACATGTAAGCCTTGATCTCTGGTTAATGGTTTTGTTCATACCCTACATTACTGTACTGTGTCTGTGAGAAGACCACAAAAAACTTAAGCCCACAGAATCCAAGATGACTTTGGCATATAACACATATTTGAAAATGAAACCTGTACCACCACAGAACAGGACGAAAGGAAGTTAAAAGTAACTGAAGTTTGGGCAAAAAGTTTCTGCTATAAGATCTGTAAACAAGACCAAACATAATATTCAATCTTTATGCAGTAAAATTCCAATTACCGATGTGAAGACAGATGTGAACAAGAAAAACAAGTTTTACATTTTGCAGGAAGTAAACAAGACCTCTTGTTCCAATTGCAGTTACACTGCTAACAGCATTTCAGAAGTGATTTTTTACTCTGTTATATTGCAGCTGTGACATCAGCTGTTCTCTCAGACTCAAGCAAAACAAGGTCAGGCTTAGTGCTGGGATGGGAGACCCAAGGAAAACCCTGCTCCTGAAGGAAAAGACCCCAGGTGAGTCAGGAGATGGCACATCACCCCAGACAGCCCTGCCTTGGACCAGCACTGCCTGGCTCAGGCCTGACACCATGACCACATGTGGGAGTTAAAGATCCTACAACGCTGCTCACAAGAGAGGGATCTGCCTCACGTCCCACTAAAATACTAACCTGATATTCAAATATTTGCTTCCACTGCATTTACTTCAAGTTTTAACTAAATGCTATTAATATCCACAGTATATTTTTTGCTGCAATGGATATAGTTCATAAAGTGGTGTTGTTTTTTTTTTTTTAGTGCAGAGCAGAAATAAACCATAACACTTCTCCCCCATCCTCCTCCAGCCTTGGGACAGACACACAGAGTTTAGAGCAATTCAACACACGTGAGAACATTCCACCAGGAATTCCTTGTTCTTGGGTCCCCGACGCTGGAGAGCCCTTCCCAGTCTCCGCAGAGCGGTTCTGCTTCTCCAGCACTGCCACTCAGGAGCACATCACACACACGAGCACTTGGAAAAGAAACAGGCACACACTGCACAGCTGCAAATGAAATCAGCTCCCAAGAGAACAGGGGGAATGGAAAGGATAAAACGAAAGCAAGGACTTTTCCTTGAAGAGACCAGTTCTGCAGAAGGCAATGGCTCTTGTACTGGAAACAGAAGGAAAAAGGTCAAGGTTAGGAGCAGCTCTCTATCCCCACTGCCTGTTCCAACAGGGCATCAAGTTGAAAAGCACCTGGGTTTACTTTCTTGGTAGCAGTGTGTTACAAAATTACACATTTATGTAAAAAAACAGTGGAGTCTGTGAAAAACACATAAAACACACAAAGCTCACACAGCTCCACCTTTGCAAAGGAACTCCTTTATACAGTATCCTGCATACTCTGTTATCAGTACATCTCAACTCATATTTCACCTTCCTTTTTTAAGATCCACATATGCTGGAGTCAAAATAAGCTTAATTGTGTGACATTTGGTTAAGAAAAAGAGCTTGAGAAAATTGGGCATGGCAATAAGTTTAAAAGTGTGAGGCAGAAGACAGAAAAGCACTGCAGAAAGCTTCAGAGAACAGTAATACAAGAACAGCGGGGGAGCAGATGAGGCAAGTCCTAAGGGAGATGTCCCAGACAAGGGGGCCCTACTGAGGACATCTGAACAGAACACATTTAGGAACTACAATGTAAAAATCAAGACTTTTCAGTTCAAAAATGAGAGAAATACTAATATTCACCCGGGTACCATGCTTTACCTTACATTCATTCAGGAATCTTCAAAGTACTTTATTACAATTTTTAAAATTAATCCCTACTCCTTATATTTTTACACAAATTTCCTACTAGTTCATTCACACCCTTACAGTCTGAAGCTGAACTTACTGGGTTCTTCATAAAACCAAGTGCTCCAGAGGGCTTTGCAAGCCTGAGCCTGCAGCAGTTCAGCAGACACCCCTGTGGCAGGAGAGGCTCAGTGTGCCCTGCTCTTAGTGCAAGCACCCCACTAGTCAAGTTTCTACTAAATCAGGAAAGTTCTCCACCCTTCCAAAACACCCCTTCTCTTTGAACAGATGCTCCCTAATCCTCTTGTCCCAGCTTTCCATTGGCAGTTCATTGTCTGCTGCTCTGGAGATTAGCAGGGAACAAAGCCCACGGCATCCCAGCCTGGCAGGGACCCCGCTGACACACCACTGATCCCACACACGGTGGGCTTCACAGAACCACCCCTGCTCCTGCTGCAAACACCCAGGGAAGGAGGAGGGGAAGGGAAAGATGAAAATAGAAAGATGGGTGAAAAACCAAGACAAAGACACAAAGAAGGACAATCTCATGGAGAAGCATGAAGTGGGGCAGTAAGACAAGTGTATGATGAGGACAGAACACAGGCTGGCAGTTGGTGCTAGACAGGAAACTGCCCTACACCTAACTGGGCATTTGAGTGGGGTACTTCAAAAAACAAGTGAATTAGCCTCACAACCCCACTGTTGATCATCTTGCAATGGCTGCTGTACTCCACTCTAACCATCCCCATTCTTTAAGATCAGATGAAGAACACGAAAGGAGGTGGGGGGAAGAGCCCTACAACCACACCAGGGGACGTTTAACTTCCACATGGTCAGGTTTAACGGGAGTCTAAGGCAGCACTTCCTGTGCTGATCACTCCGGAAAGATTCCATGGCAGTATCTGAGAGAGACAGGATCCCATGGAGCAGGGCCAGCCTTGGAGCCAGGGTGCCATCAACTGAGTCACAGCAACAAGACAGGTAGGACTGAACAAAGCTGCCTCGGGAGCCTGGGTTAGTTGAAAGGGTTATGCTAATTGTCCTCCGTGTAATTCCAGCTATACTGGGAACAGACTTTCATATACAGGTGTTTTTTAAGATCTGTGGACAGAAATCGGCCATGTTAAGATTTGAAAATATATAATATAAAGCAATTGTGAAATAAGTTGAGAGGCAAAATGTCATTGGATTTCCAGACAAATGTGGACAACGAAAACACTTTATATCTACAAGTTGCAAAAGAGTTTTCTGTAAAGGCAGACAACAAAAATAAGAAATTTGAATCCTACAGAATACACTGCTACCAAAAAAAGGCCCAAATGAGGCTGATTTTCAAACACTATAGAAGGTTTTCCTTTTAGTGCAAAACTGATCATAAACTCTTTTCAATAAAGCTTACAGAACTCTTGCTCCAATATTAATTTTGTCGTAAGAACAGTTTAATTCAGTGAATTCTTGGAACACACTGATCATGCTGAACACAATAAACTTAGCTTGTCACCTTTTATGGAACACCAGTCCCTGGCTCCCTGTTCCTTTTGCCACTCTCAGGGGGTTTTAACCTATGCATAGTTATTACAGTTTAATGTTAATCTTGTTCTTACAACAACTCATCTTTTACCCATTCCTCTTCCACTATTTATAAGAAAAAGGTCTCAAAACTGTTTCCACTTTCTACTCAGTTTCACTTCAAAACACATTGAATTTAATCAAATAAACTCAATTATGGTAAAAATATGAAATAATCTACAAGCTGAAAAGCACACTCTGGGTTTGTAAGAACTCAACACTTTGGCAGGTCGTACACCCTTGGGAAAAAAGTTTTAAAGAAGTTCTACATCCACAGTATTTGCTCTTTGGATAAAAACCTACAGGTTTTCCTTCTCCTTCCTTGGGCATTGTACTTGGTGCAGCGATCCTTTCTGCCATGGAAGAATTCCTGTTTCTTGGCAAAACTGGCTGCAGCACATCATGGCAAAAAGGGTTATTGATGGAAGAGATCTGGAATTTGGACAGGCAGCTCCCCAGGCTGCTCCAAGAATTAATGGCAGTAAAAACAAGAACTTCAAGGAAATTAGAAGCAGATGTTATCTAGTTGCTGAATGACCAAGTACAATGGACTTCAAATCTACAGGATCACACAGAAAAGGTCTTTCCAAAGTCAAAGGGGGAATTGCCCAGCAACCTCAGACAAAATGCAGGTTCTCACTCATTTCAGGTCCCAGAATTCAGGGTGGTTATTTAATATTGCTGTTTCACATGCAAGAAAACAATTCATCTTGTTCAACCATCTTCAAAGGTCATGCCCTCAAAAACTTCAGGGGCACCTGGCACACAGGATACACTCGCTTTTTTTGGGCACAGATTAGACAGTCTGCTTCAGGCACAACAACTGGAAGAGTTTCAATTCTTAGGATTATGTTTAGCTTCATCCCAGTGACTTCCTTGATCAGAGAACATCATAATCTGAGATCTGAAGTGACTGTAACAGAGGATTGCTACAGAACAGAGGAAAGGCATATTTATAAATGGGAATTAAAATGACTACTTTAGCAATTAAGAATTTTAAAAGAACTTAGTTTTCAACATCTGAATGCAGAAAGGAACACTAAGAGAGGCCAGTTTCCTATTTCTGTTCATTATATAATTTAATATATTCAAGCATCCCTCTTTTGTAAGAAGTGCATGAAAAAAGCACATTTATTCCTTTACAGAAACAGAAGTGAAAAAAAAAAAAAGAAGTCCAATGAATAGTACAGAAAGAAGAGAGAAGGCAAAACTCATGTATTTTTAGAGAGGGAAAGTAGTAACACCCAGAAACAAACAGATAAGTGCTGTCACGTGTGCTGACCACGCCACAGACACGTGGGCACCTCTGTGGCTTCCAGCCATCCCTTCCTACTGCCTCCAAGCCCACTGTGTGTCACCTGCAGAGCCCCAGCTCCACACTAAGAGATGCACACTCAGGTTCTGCACCTACAGAGAGCTCCGTGGAGCCACAAACAAGGGCTCTGGCAGAACCTGGCTGGGGTGGAATGCTGAGGGATCTCAGTGCCCAGGGAGGCTCTGACAGCACAGCTGTGTCCCTGCCCCTGGACACCAGGAGTCACTGGCTCTTCATTCCTCTTCATTCCCAGCGGCCGTGGGGACCAACAGCCCCGCGGGCACCAGAACTGACACCAACATGAACATAGCACAGTTTTTTCCCAGAAACAGGTCCTACAGAAAGTGATCCAGACACACCAAACCAGAGTACCCACTGCAACAGAGAACCAATTTCACTCCTCTTTTTTTTTTTTTTTTTCTTTTTCAAAAAACCAAACAGAACAGTTTTGTTTCTGATCTGGTAAGTGATTAAAAAGCCTTCTGACCAACCAGTCTGCCTCCAGGCGTTTCCAAACTGGGATAAAATCCCGTTCTTTCCCAGATGAAATCCTGCATGAGGTTGCAAGATGTATTTTAGCTGCAGACAAGAATCAAGGGACTGTTTGACTGGTTTAGTGCTCAAAATAAAAACCTTCTTGTTTAAGTTATGACTGGACAATATGGTACTTAACCACTCACAAACTAAATTAGTTCAGAAATATTGTGAGGTATTTGCTTTTGTTTTCAAGACTTGTTGACTCAGAGCACTGATGAAGAAAGGAAGCAACACTGAGGGCACAAAAATACACTCATTAATTAACAAACTGAACAGAAAGAATTCCTTTGCAGCTTTGCAACAGCTTCTCCCCCAGATTTGCTGAGCTACCCAGAAGCCTGTCTATAGGTTACAAACCACCTCTGCATTCACCACAACTTTCAGCAGAGTGATGTGCAAATCCCAGCCAAGGGCAACACAGAGCATTTCTTTATTTCTCATCAAATTAATGAGCACTTTATTTAACTGCAATCCTGAATAAACCACGTGGCAACAGTGTTACAGTTGTATGGAACTTCAGTTTGGAGCCTCAAAGGCTGACTCTTCTTTCCTCCTTAACTGGTTTTTAGTTTTTATCTTTAAGAACACAGATATTCGCATTTTAAGGATGCATTTAGGAATTTCTGTGGGATTCTCTTCCCGTCATTTAGTTCTGGGGTGTGTGTAACAGCTTTTGCACAATGCAGAAGGACAGACACTGGGTTACCCTACACAGACACATGTCCAAGGTCCGAGTGTCATTTAATTCTGCTATGTAATTCAGTAATGAAGCATTTGGTGGGGTTTTAGATGGAATTCAAGATAGAAGTTCATTAATTTCCTGGTAATCCATTAGAAATGTTAATATGTTCCACTACAATTCAAAAAAATACAAAAAAATCTTAAATATATTAACATATTTCAAAATATAGGAAGATTAAGTCACTGGATCAATAGATTCTTTGTAAAGAAGTATGGGAAAAAACTACCTTTTCCTCTTCTCAGAAAAACTCCACAGATTGCTTTAAGAAACTCATGTTTTCAACCAGAGCTGCTTCCTACTTATCTGACTCTAGGAAGTCAGGACCATCTACAGCTCAAAAACCCTGACGAATTTAAGGCTCACTAAAAGGAATAAAGACTATTAAATTGTTTAAACCAGTATCAGATACTTTTTTCCCAAAGGTCTGCGTCCTGGACAGAAAAAAAGCCACACATTTAGAATCCGAGGGACGGTTCAGCTTTCTTTCAACAGCATAAATGCCTCATTTATCATTTAACAAACCAGTTCTTCAGGCTCCCAGAAAGTTCTTTTCAACTTCTACTTATTTTCAGCATAGACGAACTTTGTATCTCGTTACTCTGACTCTGGAAACAGAGTATGCACATTAAAAAAACCGAACAGGAAGAAAAAACCAACCCCGCAGCTCGATTTGTTACCAGGGTCTGAATCATATGAAAGTGAAACCGAGTAGAAAGAGGGGTCAAACGGATGCTGCACTGCCAGGATTCCCGATTCATTAATTTTTAAGGCCAGATTAAGATCAAAACGCGCAGGT